GATGGTGTCCTTGTAAGCTGCGAGGTACACAAGAAACGTGTGCATGTACTTAACCCGCTCTCACGACGCTAATTTGCGTACGAACAAATATACGTTTTTGTGCATAAATGCACAATTTTAACAAAATTAGATTTGTAATATGCACGAAAGTTTAAACAAACCGTTGCTGCTGCGTAAAACGTTTTCTTGGCGTCATTGAATCCCTTTTCGCTCCAGCGAAGCCGAGGTGAGACACCATTCATTTTAAAGGAGAGAACGGGCAGAAAGATGTCGAGAGTAGTCGACTTACCCTACGGTGATTTCAGTTACTAAGAGATACTTCTAATTCCCCACTAGTGTTTTTAAACAATTATAATTTAAGTCTTGTGTATGATTTTTGGATTATCTAAACAGAAGTTTGAATTATTCAGGATAGCGTCTTTTCTTCATTGATCTGCACCTCGTGGTATGATTTATATGATTGTTTTATAGACACATTAATGAGCTTACGGCCAGCTTCTTGGACTGCGTACAGAGTGCACTTGCAGGCCCCCCGTACCCCTTTGCCAGGGGGGTGGGATGGGGAGCGGTTTGCCCCCGCGTCCGACAGGGGTCGCTGGGGGGGCGCTGCCTCCGGCGCGGAGGGGGCTGACGCTGCCTGGCGCTGGGCTGCCTGCGCAGTGGGACTCCGAACGCGCGCCTGTCGTGATGGGCGTCCTCCGCTCGCGTCGCCAGATCGAGTATTCTGACGACGACGTGCTCTCGGACGCGGCGCTCCCCCCCTCCTCCCCGCTCCCCTCCTTCCTGCCCTCGCCGCCGCCAAGCCTCCCCGCCGCGCTCGCCGTCGTCCACGAGAACACCACCGAGGCGACAACAGGTGGGGGCCAGAGGCGACCTGCATGCGGCTACGTGCGACAGATGCTCGGTCTTTTCCATACAAACTTTTGTGAAACTGTCACAATAGTTCACACTACTTTGTATGCAGTGTGCGCGTACGCGCACGCGGCTGCCGTATTTTATGTACTGGCTCCGTCGGACGTGTGTGACAGGACAGACACGCAAAAGATTTGTCTGCACACGTCTATGGACAAGCTTGCAGTTATTTGTAGTGGTTGTTGTGTGTGTCATGCCCCATTTTATGTTCCACACGCCGTCAAGCAGCCAGGAAAGAGACCTACTTCAAAAATGTAA